ACAGCAAGGAGAGACACCTACCTGGCTGCAGCCTGCGGGAGTCAGAGGCCAGGTTGGAGTGGCGGTGGGGGCGGGACTGGCTGGAGGGGTGCCAGGGGGTAGTGACACAGGACACCTGGCCTGGGGACCGCGCTGGCTGTGCACACCTAAGACCCGCGCAGTACAGAATCCTGTTCATAAATCAATAAGATCAAAGGTGCAAAGAAAAGGGCCCTTGGGAAAACCAGAAATAAACTTGAGATCACAGGATCACAGCCCCGGAGGGCCTGGCCACGGACCTGGGCTCCCTCCCACACCCTGCCTGGTGGCTGCAGGGTTCTCCTGAGGCTGAGCCACCTTCTCTGAGCAGGCCCCTCCTCAGGCACTGCCCCAGACTGGCTTGTGTCCCCGGTTCCCGTCGAAGCCTGTGCCCTGTGTGCTGGCACAGCCGTGGGCACCCCAGGAGGAGGGCGCCCCAGGAGGAGGGCCCTCCTGGGAGCCGCTGCAGCACGGTGGCCGGCTGGGCAGCTGTGGGTGCCAGCCTGGTCCAGGGCTGTGGTGTCCTTCCAGTGCCACTTGGCTCAGCACAGTGTGACAGGCAGAGGTCACGATGGCACAGGCTCAGGTCCAGAAGTGGCAGGTGGAACTGGACTCCAGCCGTCCTGATTCCAACCCGGGCACTTTTGCCTGTTTGGGTCTTGAACCCATCAGAGCCGAGCTCTCAAGGAAACAGCCACTGGCTGTGTGGAGAGATTTATCAAGCAATCGGCTCTCGTGGTTATGGAGGCCGCTGAGTGCAAACTGCAGTGTGGACTGGCAGCAGGAGACCAGGAGAGGGGACGGCACAGATGTGCCGAGGCTGTTGGCTGGAGAACCCCCTTCTTGTTCCAGTCAAGCCTTCAGCTGAATGGGTGAGGCCCACCGATCTACTTACAAAGTGCACAGATTTACAAATTAACCGTACTCAAAAGCACCCTCCAAGTGGCACATGAATTGACCATCACAGTGTGGAGGTAGGTTCTGGGGGTGCTGGGGGACTCCCCTCTCTCTGTGTGGCAGCCCACCTCTGAAGGCATTTCTGGGTTTTAGCCCCACGAGGACTGAGCCCTGCCCTGCAGTCTGCTCCCTGCCCAAGCCCGCCTGCCTCACAGCCCCACCTCCTCTGCTCTTCCTCCCCTTGTCCCTCTCCTGTTGTGTTGAGAGCCACAACCAAGTCAGGATGGCACCTGGCATTTTGCCAGAAGGAGTGGTTGAGGGGTAGCGCCAGCGAGCCATTGGGATGATGATGGTTAAGTTAAGCTGTGCATAATTATTGGGATGATGGCTGATTGCTGTAACTGGATGATGCTGGATTGAGGCAAGCTGTGTATTCAGTTGTGTATGTGGACCTCTGCTGTCCGGCAATAAGGCGGCTCCTGCTACCTCAGGTGCCTTCTACTTTTGAGTTCTCGCGGAGTTCCCGTTGAGTTCCCGTGGAGTTCGTGTGGGTTCTGGAATAAAGTTTGTTCCTGCTTGAATCTACAAGTGGCTCGTGACCTCCCAGTTAATTGTGCACAGCCAGACTTCGGCATTTGGTGGCCCGTACGGGGATCGCCTGAAGCTTGGGGGTAAGTGAAATTGCTGGCCCCTGAGGGAAGGTGAGAGAATGGGTGACCATTTCAAAAAACAATGTGTTCTTGTTTCGATTTGTTTTGTTTTTGTTTCAAGCTGCCTGTCCCTAGAACTTTCTCAGGCAAACTGGGGAAAGTGGTTGGCTCAAGGTTTGAAGTTGTTCACCCCTGAGGAAGAGATAGAGATAGACCACGGATATACATGTCAAGAAAATAGAAAAACTGATACAACAAATTTTTGTTCTGTTTTGTTTTGTGTTATCTTGTTGGGTTGCGTTATCTTTATAGCAGAAATATGGAACTAAAAATCAGTGAAAACCATACCAAAAGGGTGTTAAGTAAATTGCTAGAGGAAGGAGGCATCTCAGTAAAATCAAGAACAGTTAGGGCATACGTTAAGACGATACAAAGGTGTAGCCCATGGTTCATTAAAGAGGGGTGGTAAATATATCACAATGGAACCATCATGGTGAAGATTTAAAAAGGATAGAAAAGGAAAGCCCAGGAACTCTGCCAGTTGGCACATTACCATTGTGGATGTTGGTACAATCTTGTTTGCTTAGTCTAGGAGAAGACATCCTATATCAAGGAAAAGAGGAAGTCTCTCGAGTTAGACAAGGGAAAAAAGTTTAGAGGAGGAAGGGCTATCAGGGGAGAAGTTACAACGGGAACTCAAGGGGAAATCCACGAGAACTCAAAAGTAGTGGGCACCGAAGTAGCAGGAGCCGCCCCACTGCCGGACAGCAGAGGTCCACATACACAACTGAATACACAGCTTGCCCCAATCCAGCATCATCCAGTTACAGCAATCAGCCATCATCCCAATAATTATGCACAGCTTAACTTAACCATCATCATCCCAATGGCTCGCTGGCGCTACCCCTCAACCACTCCTTCTGGCAAAATGCCAGGCGCCATCCTGACTTGGTTGTGGCTCTCAACACTGTTGGCCATCCAGGCCTGTCTAGGCCCAGTTAAAATCAGAAACCCCAGGCCGACCCAAAGAGGTGTGGCTTGCTGTCCACCCCTGTCGGGCAGCAGGGCTGTCTGACAATCACAGCCGATTTACGGTGACCACTCTTGGTACAGCCGAAGCAGCATGGGGAGTGGCCCACGTGGCATGGAGCTAGGCCCAGGGCCAGGCCGCAGGGTGGCCATAGCAGGGACGTGCAGGTCCAGGGGTGCAGGGACTGCAGAGGGCCTGGCTGGGGTGGGGACACTGTGGGGCTCCTCCACGTCCTGCCAGGGTCCTCCTTTAGCCCGCGACCCGCGCTGGCTTCATGAAAGAAGGTTGGAATCGTGAGAAACTGCTAGGGAGTTTCAAATTAAAGAGACAGACTCTCATGACCTTTAACCAGCTCCAGGACGGCTCCTCCTAGGTCCCGCCTCCAGCCACCTAACACTGTGGCGAGGTTCACAGAAGAGGCCAGCGAGAGAGAGAGAGAGAGAGAGAGAGAGAGAGAGAGAGAGAGCGCACGCCAGGGAGTGGGCTTTTATTGGGGAACAAAAAATTCTGGGGAAAATCCCATCCAGTGAAGGTTAAGGGGGGGCAGCATCCCAAGGTCAGGGGTGACGATTGGGTCTTTGGGTCAGTGGCCAGGCACGCCTCTGCCCAGACAAGCCCTGGACCTGGGACAGGGTGGGCAAGGCTCTGACACCGCTGTGTCTAAGCGCCTCTCACCCAGCCAGGGAGGTGACTATGGGATGGCCTCCCACACTCCTGGCCCCTGGGGTTTCTCGCATGCACCTGCGGGTGTTGGTGCTGCCCAGGGAGGCAGCCCAGCGGCCTCCAGCCCGGGCCCTGGCGGCAGGAGCCAGATGCGGATCTCACCCCATGCCGCTGGGCAGAGGGTGTCGAGGGCTGTGAGAGCGCCTGGGCTTTTCCAGAGCCTGGCTTCACTGCACCTGGAAGCGGAGCCCCAGTGGGCAGCCAGAGGCCACTGCCCCCCCAGCTCTCCCCGGTTTCCTGGTGGACCCTGCTGGTGTCTTCACTCCAGTTCTGGCATGAGAAGCCAGTGTCCAGGCTCCACAAGCTGTGGTCAAAGGAGAAGGAGAGGCCGCGTCCTTCAGTCCCCACACTGGGCTTCCCAGGGGCAGGACCTCTGTGACGGCTGCTGGACAGTAAGACCCCTCCCCAACTAGTCAGCCTCTCCTTCAAGGGTCCAACCTAACTCACTTCTCCACTGAGAGCAGCGGCCTCCCCCAGCCCTCTCCCTGACCAAGGCCCACTGTCAGAGGTCTTAGTCTCCCCAGCCCCTGCGCGTGAGTGACAGGGCGGTGATGCTGGCGGCCCCACCAGCCCCTGCGCGTGAGTGACAGGGGTTCGGCGTCAATCTCTATAACAGTTCCTGGACTTCCCTCCCGCAGGGCTCTCACGGCCTGTTCTAAGGGGCCAAACCGTTTCCACAGGTTTAATCTGGGGACTTGGATCACACCTGGGCCCTGGTTCCTGGCTTTTGTATTTGGACAGACTATGAGTAGGTTTCCTCGAGAGAGAGTGCGTTTTCTGATTTGTCAATTGTGCTCTCCTGTCAGATCTCCGTATTGGACGGCTTCACAGATGCACAAGAATGTTTAGATTCAGAGAATAATAATAAAGAAACACCCAGGTACCTGCCTGGAAATTCAAGCCAACAAACTCCCCTCATTCCAAGACCATTCGGAACTTCCAGAATAAGACAGCTAAGCGGTTGTCAAAGAAGCGTGGCCCTGGAGCGTGGCCCTGAGCATCCCCGTCACAGCCCTGTCACCCAGTCGCAGGGGCCCCTGGGTGTCTGCTCTCGGCAGGCTGGTGAGGACACGGCGGGCCTTGCACGCCCGCGCCCTCCCCTCCCTGGACTGCTGCGCCTTTCCCATCCCCAGGACCTGCGTCTCCACCGTGTGTGGGCCCACAGGGCCGCCCCTCAAAGGTCTGGCCGGAGCACTTCCAAACCCAGGGACTTGCTCAGTGGCAACCCCCTTCCTGCTGACCTCCTCGGGGCTCCAGGGTGGGTCTTACGTCCCTCTCAATGACCATCCAGGGAGGTAGAAGTTCTCCATGCCGGAATAGGGTCGGGGCGTTAGGTGTGGGAAGGAGTGAGCCAGCCCTAGCCCAGGGAGGCCTCTGAGGCCATCTACGGAACACTGGCCCCTGAGGGACGAGGGGGTGGTTGCCTGGGGTGCAGCCAGGAAGGCTGTCCAGTCTCCATGCTGGGGGCCTGGGGAAGGGAGGGACACCTGCCGGGCGTGGCCTTGGGATTCTGAGCTCAGGTGAGCCCGATGCACTTGTGGGTAAACCGGGGCCAGGGCCAGGGCTCTCTGGGGAAGGGGCAGCTCTGCCTGCTCTGGTGACCAAGGGCCTTGCCTGGGCCCCATTACTCAGAGTCGGGTCCGCGAAAGAAGCACAGAGACACCGCCGTGCTTTTTGTAAAGAGCAATATAAATATATTTCCACAATTACAACACAATAAATAGGTGTCCATCCCGATGCACGTGAGGACTGCATGGGGGAGACTGTCCGGAGGCCAGGGACGCACCAGGGGGAGGCCCAGGCCAGGGACACACAGGGGCCCTGTTGTGTTTGAGGTAAAACTTGGTACAATTGTTCCTTTATGGCAGAATCCCTGCTGGACCAGGCTGGGAGCACCAGGGGACAGCCCTGGGCCTTAGCCTGAAGGACGCCTGGTCATCTGGAACATGGCCAGTGGTCACCAGGAACGCAGCTCTGCAGGGCCACCTGCCGGGTGGACAGCCCTGCTCAGAGAGGCACAGAGGGGCCACGTCTCGCCTGCCGCCAGCCAGCTGCCTGGGCTGCCTGCCACCCTGCTCTGCACGCCGTCCTTCAGGTGGTCCTCAGCCGCAGGACCCTGGACAGGGGCTCCTTGGCGCTGGAGTAGATGAGGTAGGAGCCGGCCGAGGTGTCGAAGGTCTCCCAGTCCCTGCAGCCGAAGGTGGGGAGGCTGTGCACAGCCACGAAGCCCTCGTAGCCCTGCCACCTGTGGGGGACGGCGTCAGCCTGGCCAGTGTGGGTGGGCTGCTCTGGGTGAGCGGCAGCCTCCTGCCCCACACTCCTGACCACCCGGTCACCAGCTCGCCTCCAGACGTGCTCGAGTCCCCCACCTCCCCGGCCACGTGTGGCGGTGTGACGAGCCTCTGCTGAACCTAGAGGGCTCCTGGGTGTGGGGGGGAGGTTCTCATCTTGAGAAAGTGGGAAACTGAGGCCCAGAGGGGACGCGGCCCCTAGAGGATCCCACAGCTCCCTCCTACCCCCCAGGACCCTGCCCCACGCACCCTGAAACCTGCGGAGGACAGTCAGGAATCCTGGCGGCTCCAAGGGGTGCAGCTGTGGGGTCACCTTGACAGTGGGGTGCGTGCTGCCCCCACCGGCCCTGAGACACCCCACACAGCACCGCCCGTGCTCTAGGCCCTGGGAGCCCTGCCCGCAGCCCCGGTCAGGCAGCCCCCGCCCAGGTGTGAGCAGGCCCCAGCCAGGCCCTCACAGAGATGTGTCTGTGCAAGGTGGCCTCGTCCCGCAGGATGGAGTCCCCAGGCGGGCTCCTAGGTCAAGGGCACATGTGGCTTCAGTCTTGATGTTTTCCTGGATCACTTCCCGTAAACGCACAGGGTCATGTCTGAGAGCAGGTCACTTCCCACAGGTTTACTCGGGTCCCAGTCATCCGAGATCGCTGCTCACAGCCTCCCATGTCCCCGATTCTAACCCTTTCTCCTCCCGCTTCCTCTCAGGTCTGCGGGTCGGCTCCGTCCTGGCCCCTGGTGGTCTCTCCCACAGGAGCTCTGTGTGTGAGCGGCCAGCCGCCCTCTCCCTCACTTGGAGGCTGAGCAAAGCCTTACATTTTCTTGTTGTATTTTTACACTTGGATGTTTAATTCAGCTAAGATTTGCTTTTGTATATGGGTAGGAACTAGGGTTAGCTTCGTTTTCTGCCAGCTGGATGGAAAATAACACAGAATCATTTTATTAAACAACGCATCCCGCTGGGCGCCATGGTCACGCCTGTCATCCCAGCAGCTCGGGAGGCTGAGGCAGGAGGATCACGAGTTCAAAGTTAGCCTCAGCAAGGCCCTAAGCAACTCAGCGAGACCCTGTCTCTAAATAAAAAGTATAGAAAAGGGCTGGGGATGTGGCTCAGCAGTTAAGGCCCCTGGGTTCAATCTGCAGAACCCAAAGCAAACAGAACAGTGTGCCCTTTCTTCTGCTGAACACAGGTCACACTAAGGGACGACCAACCATTGGCCCTCTGGACTGTGACCTCCGCACCCCTTTTTAAATCTTCCCTCACTGATGTTGTGGTGCAGGGATGCAGCGGGCTCAGGCCCGGAGGCAGGCGCCCCCCGAGCCACCCCAGCCCACCATCAGGTGTCCATTTTTAGCAAGGACCACCCTGTTCCACCCCTGTAGTTCCCTCCTGCACTGTTCTTTTTCAGAAATTTCTTGGCCATCTCTAAAAACTTTTTCTTCCACATGCATTGTCAAATTGCTTGAGTGTGTTGAGAGTCTACTGCAGTAAGTTTGAAATTCTGAGAAAATTGATGATTTTCTCCCCTGTGAAACACAGATGACGGAGCCCTGGACAGGCCAATAAGCAGGGAGCCTGGAGAGTCTCTGAGACACGGTTGAAAAGGTGCCAGGCCTGGGAGCCACCTGACCCATTTAAGGTCCTCACGAAACACAGAGAAGCGTGTTTTCCAAACGGCCCTGGCCCCGTGCTGCGCCTGCGGCAGTGCGTCTGTGTGTGGATAAGGGGAGTCCCCAGGGAAACCAAAGCCCAGTCGCGTTTCCTATTCTGGATGCGGAAAGCTTAGATATAGCACCTGGGACCTAGGGAAGGTGATACAGGGTGACACCCACTCCAGTGGCAACAGTCACAGAGACACGGGGAGCTCTGTCTTCGTACATTGTTACGTGAACAGAGCAGCAGAAGCCAACCCCAAGGAGCCAGCGGCTCAGACCTGCCCAAGGCAGCATCCTGTCGGTGGCTGGTGGCCGTGAGGTCCCACGTGAACTTGAGAGGTGGGGGCAGGGCTGCTGACCACTACTGCTGCTACAGGACCGTTCTGGAACGTTCTACTAGTTAAGAACACCACAGAAGCCTCAGAATCCAAGGGGCAGAGAAGCCCTTATTCTCCGATGTGATTATATCTCCTAGTCCTCTTAAGAAAAACTCTGGGATTGATAACTTGGTCAGTGATGGTCACAAACACTGCTAAACATCTGGGAGTGACACAGTCCCCACTCATTACACTTAAATCAGTGAAAACACCTAGAAGACGTGGAACAGTTCCGCTCCGGAGTCTGCCGGAGGAAAGCTGGACTCCAGGAACTCCCACCAGCAGCCCACCTGCTGCACCTCCAGTGGTCAGTCAGCATCGGGCCGTGGCCCAGCCGGCTCCCAGCAGGCACGGCCCAGCACCAGCTGAGGCACTGGGAAACACTCCCCATGGCCTGGCCCTGCTGAGCTGGTGGCCATCTGCAGGGGAAGGCGAGTGGGGAGAAGGAGGCTGCCCTCGGCTGGCCCTTACCTGTAGATAATACTGTTCACTGAGAAGGATTCTCCATCGAAGGAGTTGGCGACCACCAGGAAGTGATCTTCTCCCACGGAGAAGAACTCCCAGTCCAGGGCGCTGTGGAGACAGTGGGGGTGAGGGCTGAGACCGGATGCCCGGAGCCGAGGCCGCCTGGCATGGCCATGCGTGACCGCCTCGCCCCTGACCCATTCCTGCTGCCACTCATTCCCACGCTGGCTTCACTCTAAACGTGCCCCAAGTGTCTAAGGTGTGCGTTGCTCTGAACCTCTCTCTCAGCAGGAGGCCTTGATGAACAGCCTGGCTTCCAGGCACAGAGGTGTGGCTCCTGGGCCCTGCTCTGCTGCTGGAGCCACGGTGACCCAGGAGGCCACAGGCAGCTCCTTCCTGGGTCTGAACCAGGTGCCACCGCTAGTTCTCATTCTATTCTGAGGACTGGTTTTCTTTTTTCATTAAAGAATACTTGAGCCATCAGTAAGGTGACATTGTGCACCTTGTAAATCAACGATTGACTGTGGTGGGCATAAAGGGAGAGTCCTTCTTTGCCTGCCTGTTTCTGGGAGCGACACTGTCAGGGGCCTGGGGTGTCCCTTCCACACACTCCGTTTCCACCGTGATGCATGGTGAGCTCGTGGCTGGCGCTGGACCCAGGACCCCTGGCACCTCCTTTGTCTTCCTCCGAAGAGTGGGTCTCGGATTTCCTTTCCTAAATGTGCTCGCTGTGTCTCCAGGGTGGGACAGGCTGGCCTCAGGAGGGGCCTGACAGTGCTCCCTGAAGGACTCAGACGTTGAGGAAAGCTGGGGAGGCCCTGCTCCCTCTGGGGCCGACACTGGCGGGGTTCTGGTTTTAAACGTGAGGGACGAAGCCCTCTGTTCTGGGGTCTGAATGATGCAGACTCAGCCACGTTTTCAAGCAAGACTTAGAAGTCCCTCCCCAGGTCCAGCCTGGGCTGGCTACAGCTGCTCAGCTCTGGGGCCGCAGGGGGCACTGCGCAGGCCTCAGTGCCCTGCAGAGCAAGCTGGACTGGGCCCAGCACCAGGTGGCCACACTGACCCCGTCCACACCGCCAGCCTCACTCCTGCCTCAACAAGCCTCTGTTTCCTGCAGTTGCTGGGCAGGGCGCCGACACGGGGGAGGGCACCTGCCGTTGTGGATAGAGGGGCAGCTTCGGGAGCCACTGAGCGGCCTGGGGCCTCCTGCTTGTGGCAAGCAGACCAGCCACGGCTCCTCGTGGAGGAACCGCTACCTCCTCCCCAGAGGGGCACAGACCTGCCCCGGGCTCCTCCGCACAGGGCCAAACCACAAACGTGCAGAGAAATTGCGCTCCATGCAGTGTCGGCCTTGGAACGGATGCCAGGCCCAGCAGGGTGGCTTGCTGCAGCCAGTGTGCCCAAGCAGAGGGCAGGTGAGCCCACCCAGTACCTGCAGGTGGGGATGTCCTGGAACTTGACAAAGGCCTGGGCGGTGACGTTCAGCTCGTAGATGACGGAGTTGATGGTGTAGGAATCGTTGCGCAGCTGCATTCCCACGTCGTAGCTGTGACTGTTGGCGACGGCGAGGAAGAGCCTGTCCCCGATGCGGAAGACTTCCCAGTCCGCAGCCCCGAGGGTCTAGCACAGAGCAGCGGCCAGCACAGCAGGGCCAGTGAGCCTGGGCACTGCCCAGACAGACCCCAGCAAGCCACCCACCATGCCCAGTGCCACTCACAGGTGTCCCTAGGTGGCAGCCTCGAGGCCACACTCCTGCACGGACCCGGGGCAGATGCACCCCCGAGGCCCACACCCCCTTCCCAGGCAGGGCTCCCATCCCTCTAGTCCCTCCTAACACCTGGAGCTTCCTGTCCCCGGTCGGGGATGTGTATGGAATTCTGCTGACCCTACAGACAGAGCCTGCTGTCTCTGTGCTGCTCCCACGTCACTTGTCCCCTCGAGGGGCAGGTGGAGGGGGAGCCAGGTCTTTGCCGGAGCCGGTTCCACGTGGCCCATGAGAAGGGTGCGTGGATAAGGGGTGGTGCAGAGTGGGAGGGGCCTGAGGAGCCCTGCCAGGGTCTGAGCCCCGCAGAGGGAGGGCCAGAGGCGCAGCAGGCAGCCGCCCTGTCGGGCATTGCCCAGGAGGGTGGCACAGGGGTGGGGATGGGCAGGAACGTGGCAGCGGCTCGTGCAGGGTGTGGCCACGGGGGTGCACACGCTCTCTGGGGACTGCTGTCTCAGCTCCTAATCGGCAGAAGGGTGAGTGTGGCTGGGCCCTCTGTGCCAGGGGCTGAGGAGGCCGGGAAGTGCAGGCTTCGCTGAGACTGAAACCGTTGCTTTTTCTCTTTGACCCCCCTTCTGGTCCTGGTGGAGAGGCCTGTGTTCCACTGGCCCTCCCGCTGGTGACTGGACAGACTGCACGGTGTCCCCAAGAAGCCCACCCCGTCCCCAGCCTCCAGAGGGCGCCGCAGCAGGCAGAGGTGGGACCACATCTCTGACCACCTGGAGTGGGATCCGCACCCCGAGGGCCTGAAGGGCGCTCCAGGAGGGGACACGCACAGGCAGAGAGCCCCGATGGCCTTCAGTGCCTCTCAAACGTCCACCTCCCGAACTGCAGGTGACAAAGTCCCAGGAGCCAGGGCTGAGCCACGGCGGGGAGGCCACACTGTCAGCTGCTGCCTGGACCCGGGAGGTGGTGCTGGGGCCTGACCACAGCAAGACAGAGGATTGGAAGACATCAGGATATTCCCACTGAAGCCACGGAAGGGCTGCCCCCCGGGAGCAGGACATGCCCGGACCACAGACCACCCTGGGCTGCAGCAGAACTGAGTCAAACTCATAGAAGCCGGGCCTGGGGCCGAGCCCCCAGAGGCCAGGCGCTCGACCAGGAAGGGAGAGTTGTGCTAGAAGGGTGCCGGACACTCCCGAGAGGAGGAAAACAGAACGCACGTCGCCACCCAGTCACCATGCCCAGCACACGAGGGACGGGCCTGACGCGCAGGGTGTGGATCCAACAGAACGTGGGACCCTCAGTCAAACGTGGAGCCGGCTGGGGACGTCACAGTGACATGACAAGAACCCACAGGGAGGACGTGGCGGGAACAAGACAGAAACGCCCAGAGCTGCGAAGGCTCTGAGAAGGGCCCTGGAAGTCCTGCGGCGGGAGGACTGGGCACTGCAGTCCCACACCTCCTGTGGGGCCAGCGCCGCCCTGACAACCGAGCGGAGAGGGAGCCAATCACAGACGATCCAGAGCACTGACCAGCACAGGAGAGAAAGGCCAGGCCCGGGGCCCGCTGTGGTGTGCAGTGCCAGAGTCACCCAATGAGGGGGACGGGAGAGGGACAGAAAATACAGAAAGTGATGGCCGAGGCCGAGCAGGAACCCTGAGCAGAAGGGAAACAAAAGCCCTGTGCCACCCGCTCAGACCCCTGGGGACAGAGAAGCAGCCAGAGAAAAAGGACAGAGAGGGGACAATGATAGAAATGGCACCCAGCTCCCCACGAGGGACACAGAGCTCCAGAGACCAGCTCCCCACGGGGGACACAGAGCTCCAGGGACCAGATCCCCACGGGGGACACAGAGCTCCAGGGACCAGCTCCCCACGGGGGACACAGAGCTCCAGGGACCAGCTCCCCAAGGGGGACACAGAGCTCCAGGGACCAGCTCCCCACGGGGGACACAGAGCTCCAGGGACCAGCTCCCCACGGGGGACACAGAGCTCCAGGGACCAGCTCCCCACGGGGGACACAGAGCTCCAGGGACCAGATCCCCACGGGGGACACAGAGCTCCAGGGACCAGCTCCCCACGGGGGACACAGAGCTCCAGGGACCAGATCCCCACGGGGGACACAGAGCTCCAGGGACCAGATCCCCACGGGGGACACAGAGCTCCAGGGACCAGATCCCCACGGGGGACACAGAGCTCCAGGGACCAGATCCCCACGGGGGACACAGAGCTCCAGGGACCAGCTCCCCACGGGGGACACAGAGCTCCAGGGACCAGCTCCCCACGGGGGACACAGAGCTCCAGGGACCAGATCCCCACGGGGGACACAGAGCTCCAGGGACACAGATCCCCACGGGGGACACAGAGCTCCAGGGACCCAGCTCCCCACGGGGGACACAGAGCTCCAGGGACCCAGATCCCCACGGGGGACACAGAGCTCCAGGGACACAGATCCCCACGGGGGACACAGAGCTCCAGGGACACAGCTCCTCACGGGGGACACAGAGCTCCAGGGACACAGCTCCTCACGGGGGACACAGAGCTCCAGGGACACAGCTCCTCACGGGGGACACAGAGCTCGAGGGCACCCAGCTCCCCACGGGGGACACAGAGCTCGAGGGCACCCAGCTCCCCACGGGGGACACAGAGCTCCAGGGACCCAGATCCCCACGGGGGACACAGAGCTCCAGGGACCCAGATCCCCACGGGGGACACAGAGCTCCAGGGACCAGCTCCCCACGGGGGACACAGAGCTCCAGGGACCAGATCCCCACGGGGGACACAGAGCTCCAGGGACCAGATCCCCACGGGGGACACAGAGCTCCAGGGACCAGATCCCCACGGGGGACACAGAGCTCCAGGGACCAGATCCCCACGGGGGACACAGAGCTCCAGGGACCAGATCCCCACGGGGGACACAGAGCTCCAGGGACCAGCTCCCCACGGGGGACACAGAGCTCCAGGGACCCAGATCCCCACGGGGGACGCAGAGCTCCAGGGACCCAGCTCCCCACGGGGGGACGCCGGAGCTGGAGGCAGCAGGAAGACATCGTCAGAGTGACTGAGGATAAAGCGAGGACCTGGAATTCTGCAGCCAGGTGAATAAGCCTCAGAGACGGGGAGACAAGAGCTCTTCAGATGAGGGGACAGAAGTGACTGCAGCAGACCTGACCCGCAGGAACACTGAGGGAATCACTCGTGTTGAGGAAAAGTGACACCAGGTGGAGATTGGAATCTTGGAAAAGGTGGGAGAGAGCACCGGAGGTGTTGGCACGCAAGAGAAAGGCCCTCGCTGCTCGAGGGGACTGTCTGGCCAGTGTGGCGCCTGTGACCTCAGAGGACACACAGCACAGTGGACGGGGGAAATGTCACTGGTAGGCGCTGCACGGCTCATGACGTGGCATGGTGACGATTCAAAACAGTGATGAGTTAAACAGCCACTAAACCGAGACGGGCAACAGAAGGCAGGCAGGAAAGCACGCGTGTGACACAGGGCTGTCTCCCCGACACACGGAACCCTCACCGTCATCATGGAGAGGCAAGAGAGGGTTAAGTGGGGACAACAAACCTCGGAGGGACAGCACACAAAAATGTGCTCAGAATTGGTGTCACCAGGTAAGTGCAGCTCAAATGCACACGGAGGTGTCGCTCGCCCCAGGCTCTCCTGTGACCGTCCGCGAGGCCGACGCTGGGAAGGACGCAGCAGCCAGCTCTCCCACACCTGGCTTCTGACCCCGAGCCCCACTCCGGGGCTTTCGCCTCCAAGGAAAGGACCGTGGCGCAGAGAGCTGGGTGAGAACGCGCCTGGCCGTTCCCTGGAGGTGAGAGTGGGAAGCCGCCCAGGGAGGCTGGGCAGCGCCCCAGGCACAGCGCTCACACCAGCAGAAACGTGTCCCCGGGACAGCGCCCAAGACCCCTGCGAGGCCACTGAGTGCAGCCTTCAGAACGGCTGTCGGTTGGGGTCAGCAGGACTGCCGGGGCGGGGAGAAGGGCCGCAGGGGCGCCGGTGGTTCATGAGTACGCACACGTGTTGGGATGATCAGGCTGGACACTCAGACCACGCTGCATCGTGTTCTGGGGAAAGGATGCTCCTGCCACGGGCCTGGCCTCCCAGGACAGGACCTGCTCTGCCTTACGTCCCCGCCGCTGCCCAGGCTGCAGCCTGGACGAGGCACCATTTCAACTGGCCCCAGGCCTGGGTGGTCAGGGTCCCACACCCACATGGATCAAGTGGATGGGGGGGGGCGGATGGGGGTGGCATGTCCCCAGACAGGCGCCATGGTTCCCCGGGGGTGGTGCTGACCGTCTGTCAGGTGGGCTAGGCAAAGCCCCGAGGGCTGGCACACTTCCTGCCAGTGCCCTTGAACGTGGACCGAGAGCAAACCTGACCCTGCCAACCTGAGTGGCTTCCTCTGGCCCCGCGGGGCAGAGCAGAACAGAGGGCAGAGGGGAGATTCACTCTGCCTGAGCTGGACGTCCACCTCCTGCTCTCGGTGCCAGTGCTCTGGGTCCCCAGGCCTTTGCATTGGGACTCTCGCAGCAGCTGTCTGGTCTGCCTCAGGTTTGGACTGTACTGCACACAGGCTCTTCTGGGCCTCTGGCTCGAAGTCAGCAGATGGGGGGACTCCCCAGCCTCCAGGATGGTGTGAGCCCACCCTACACCACCTCCCCTCTTCTCTCTACAGACTCCTGGTTTGTCTCTCGGGGAAGCCAGACTGACACAAATGGGAACTTTCAAATTTTCTAGCTGCCCGGAAAGTTGGAAGGGGATAGACGGATCCCGAGAACTGTGCCCTGCGCCTGCTTCCAGGCAAAAGCATGCCCATGGGGGGTATCTCAGGTCGGGGTTTGGGGCACATTTCTTGGCTCTGTAACTGCCATGGGGGCTGAGGGCTGCAACCTGTCTCCATGTCTGAGAGCTTGTGCCCTGTGGGGCAGGGGGACTGCTATGTTAGGTGGTGTCCCTTCCCCCAGCATGTCATGAGGGCCAGGCCCCCCCGGATCCCCATTGTAAAGAGGAAGAGCTGAGCCTGGGGTCAGGGATGCCCACAGCACTCAGTGGGAGACCCGCTACTTCTCCAGGCTCAGGATCTGGCTGTTTCCCTGGGGACACTGCACTGCACAGCGTCAGGTCATGGGGCTGTCCCAGGTAGTCCCTGCTGGGGACAGTTGGGTCGTCTGTGGGACTGTGCCTCACACAGGCCACATTGTCTCTCGCTGGCCCCGGCCCATGCCCAGAACCTCCTGCTGAGGCTGTCTGGTCTCACCCTGCCCCGGGAAAGCAGCTCAGGAGCGCTGCAGCAGACGGACGCTCTCTCTGACCCCCAGGTCCTTTTACCCTGTTATCCACCCAAATCAGTTAACCTTTCCCTCCCACAAAGCCAGATGGTGCTGCGCAGTGTCCTCTGGTCCCCTGTCCCTCACCCTGGCTGGCTGCATCACTTGGCACCTAGGAAAAGATAACTCTGGGTCGAACAGAAAGGCATGGGCAGTAGAGGGCACCAGTGCCCAAGCCCCTGCGGCTGGGCCCTGGGGGACCGTGGGAGGAAGCACCAAGTGAGACTCACTAGGACAAGGACAAGGGGACCAGGACCCCTGGTGGTTACCGAACCCTCCACAGAGATACCTCCTGGGTTAGTGCATCCTACCTGCTGGGAACACCCCAGGCCACCCAAGCGGCAGCCCAGGTCTGACAGAGCAGAACAGACCGCCCAGCCCTGGGCTCCCTGCAAGCCCGAGGGAACCACACCGGAGCCCAGCCACACGCATGTGCACAGCTGCACACATCCCTGCACGTGCACCTGTGCATCCCTGTGCCCACACCTGCACACACGTGTGATGATGCACACAGCCGCAGGCTTGTGACCCACGTGCAGGCATGTGTGTGCACACCTGTGTGTAGGCGCAGGTCAGCCCCTGGACACACATGTGCATGTTTGTAACATGCCTGTGCCTACATGCACACACAGAGACATGCACAAACAGGCACATGGGTGCTTGACACACATGTGCACACCTGTAACACTCAGGCATACTCACACACATGTCCCCATGTCTCCCTTCTGGGGTGCTGGCTCCCGCTCGCCTGTGCTGAGGTAGGTCCGGTGAGGGTTCCAGGGGACAAGCCCTGTGGTGGCTGCTCTCTTGCCCTAAGGGTGGGTGGATGACCTGAGCGGCCTCTCCTGGCGCAGCTTGAGGAGTGCCCAGTGGGTGCTGGGGCCAGGCCAGGGGCAGAACCTCATGGATGGGTGAGGAGGCCTCTCTGCCCCCAAAGATCCTAGAGTGGTGGCCTGCACATGGGGACATGGGAGACTGCCTGGGCTTGGGGACACAGGAGAGTCGTGGATATGTGGAGGAAGGAGAGGGGGTCGTTGGGCAGTGAGGCAGGGAAGGGCATCTGGCAGCGGGGACAGCAGGACATGCAGGGCCCAGGGCCCAGGCCCGTGGGGTGAGCAAAGCAGGGGTGGGCTGCTTGGGAGGGATCTGGTGCCCAGGAGAGGGCCTGGCTTCGACACCAAGGGCACGGGTTAGGTGGGACGCTGCTGAGAGGGAGACAGCGAGGTCGGCTGTGTGTCGGAGGTTCTGAGGCCCACAGGGGCCAGGAGGGAGGGCAAGGCTCTGTGGGTCGGGCTGCGTCCACCCCAGGGCTCGCGAGATCCTTGGAGAACCTGGCACAGCTGCTGGCAGCTGGAAGTCAAACTTCCAGCTGCCAGCACACAGCCTCTGCATGGGGGGTTGGAGCTTCTGCCTGCCCAGCGAGCAGGGCTCAGAGGCGGCTCAGGTCCCAGCGAGGGCCAGCGCCTGAGTCAGCAAATACAGACTCCCATGGGATTGGAGTGGGAGGTAACAGTGAGCAACTTTCTGGTCTGCACGTCTTCCACGAGGAGCTTGGGACATACTTTCACGGAAAAAATTACTAGTATTTTATCTGGAACTCAAGTGGACCCAGGTGCCCTGATGGGATGTGGAGGGTGGACGAGACCATGGGGCGTCACTGAGTCAGGGTCCCAGCCCTCTGCTGTCCAGTCGTGGCTGTAGAGGATCTTCCTCCCCAGGCCGGGCCGCCTGTAGCCACCTCCGGGGGCAGCTTCCAGGGCTCTTCTCATAAGTAAGGATGGGGCCGCGCCAGTCTACACAGCAGGTGTGAGGCCCCTGCCACCCCTGACCCCCAAACCTGGGACCTTCCCCAAGTGCCTGACCACTGCCAGCTCCTGTCTCAGTGAGGACACAGCTATGGGGTGTGGCTGCTGCCTCCACAGAGCCCTCCTGCCCACATCACCACAGTTCCCAAGGCCCTCCCACCTGGTCAGTCCACCACACCTGCTGTACAGACAGAATGCAGAGAGGCTGCACACGGCCCAGGCCCTACCACAACTCTGTGTGTGTGCGTGCACAGCGTGCTCACGTGCATGTGTGCATGGGGAGCCATGGTCCTGGCCTTCGGGAATCATGCAGCAGCCCCAGGGCATGTTAGTGACAAGCAGGGCCTGCTGACCTGGTGGCTGCCACTGTCCCTGCCATGACCCCACACGCCCTGGGCCACAGTGCCCAAGGGATGAGCCTGTAGGCTGCAGGACGTGAGTTCCCAGCACGTCCACTCAGCCAGAGCCCTGCATGGACGTGAGGCTCAGTGGCCTCTGCGTGTCCTTTGCACGTCCAGGCTGGGTGCTGGCTGTAGAGCACACTGGTTTTGATCATAGGGTGCTGCGGCCCCTCCAGTGGGTGAAGGGGCATGTGGGCATGGGCCTGCTCCCTCTGGGTTCTGCAGTCTTGCTGTGGGTTTCACGGTTGATGCGGAGAACCGCAGGTGTGAGCCCCACCTGTGGGATGACGTCACTCCGGACCTGACTCTGAGAGGGGCCCGAGCACTCTGCACAACGGAGGACGCCCAGGTCACACCTGGCCACGTGGGGTCCATGGTGTAAAATGGGGACACTGAAGGCAGCGAGTGGGGATCTGGCGAGAAGGTCTGTCTCCGCTCAGCAGCACCAGGCTGGGGGAGCCCCGACGCGTGGGCATGCGCACTCCAGTGTGCGAGCAGGTGCACGATAACACGTGTGCTTTCTTGCCCTCCCTGGGTGCATGGGTAGCAAGGAAGGGGAGCCGAGTCCAGGCCAGGGTCTCAACCCTTTCTGTCTTTCTGGCCCTGTGCACTCTGGGGGCTGTTTCCAGCAAGCCCAGGCCCCTCCAGTACCTCCCTGCGGTGCAGCTCCGGCCCTTGGGGCTCCTCCTGCTCCTGGCCGACCTCCTCTGCTGGCCTCAGCCCCTTCACCCTGATCCACACTCTCGGCAGCCGTCCAGGCCACAGTGCCGGGCCTTGGCTAGCACGCCCCGCTGTCCCCACCCTGTCCTGCTCCACTCTGGACAGCGCTTCCCCACTGCTGTGGTCACAGGTCCTGTGGATGCTTTGTCCTGCACGCACCGCCTGCCTTCTGCTTCCCCCCCGAGGGCCTGGCCAGGGGCCTCGCAGGGGCAGGCCCTGTGCTCATGGACTTCAACCTCCAAGACCGTGGGCCGATTAAACTCCTTGCTTACGAGCTGCACCCCCCGATTCACCGTTGTAACCTCGAGAAATGGGCTGAGGAAGCCCCCCGGGCCAGTGACCTGTTCAGGTGGCAGCAGAGGCCAGCAGCGGAGGCCGGATCTCCCAGCAGAGCTGGCTCCTCCGTTGGTCCCAGGTGGTGGACCTCCCCCGCCTGGAGGCAGGTCCCAGAATTCCTGGTGCATGTCCAGGGGCTGGAGCCAGGAGCTGACCTGAGCACCCTCCAACTGCCTCCCAGGCTGATGGACAGCCTCCCGCTCGCCCGGCCCTGGGCGGCAGGACCCGGGTCCCCAGATTCTTTTGAAGGTACCCAGAGTCCGGGAATGCCTGCCCTGAGCCCGAGGCCCGCCAGCTCTGCAGACACAGTTCCTCACAGCCCCCAGCTGCTCACGGGCCCTTCCAGAAAGGTCCCTGCAGAGCCACACCTCCCCTGCTCAGCACATTCAGGCCCGGGGCGGCTCTGCTCTCACGTCCACTCTGTCCTGCCTGGCCCTGCTCTTCTTTCAGGCACCGTCGCCTACCCTTGGGCCTGCCCTCCTCTGGGAACACAGCCAGGATTCTGCGGGGACATTTTTGCCCTTAGCCACAGCCACCGCTCAGACGCAGCCTGATGTTAATGGTCACCACCCTCTGCCCAGCACGTCTACCTCCTCCTGGGCAGTCCCACTTGTCCCTGCGAGCACGGCCCTCCACTGCCACAGCTGCCTTCCAGGGCCGCCGAGAAGGACCCCTCCCGCCTGGGCCAAGTGCTTGCTGCTGCTCCACACTGAGGTCTCGCCAGCACACGGGGACAGGAGCCACCAAGGGACAACCTAGTCTAAAAGCAACACGTCCGCCCCCACCCCGTCCCCAGGCCGCCCAGGTCAGAGCAAGCTGCCCGGCTGCCCCAGAGCTGGAGACTCGCCACCCCCCAGACAGGAACCAGACCTGGGCAGGAGGGCAGGGAGGGGCTCCTGAGAGTGCCCGCGCTGCTCTGTCACAGAAACCCCACACAGGGCAGTGCGGGCAGGGGCTCCTCAGCCGGGGAGGCGCTGGGTCCAAGGACTGAGGGTCCAGGGCCATGCTGGTGTGGCCGTCGCTGGGCCATACCAGCGGGCCCCTCCCTCCCCCTCCCTCCCCCTCCCTCCCGTCACCCGGATCCAACAGGCACATGCTGCCGATGAGACTTGGTGGTAGACAGGCAAGCGGTGGAGACTGACGGTGCTCACCAGGAAGGACTGGAAGAGCCGGAAGGAGCCAACCAGCCAGACGTACAGGTGGGAGTGCACCTTGGTGGAGGTGCCGTTGAAGGTGTTGGCCACCACCAGGAATGAGTAGGGCCCCACCGTGAAGAACTCCCAGTCATAGGCTCCGGACGTGGCGATGGTCTGGTTGGCCTCAAAGAGCCGGGTGCTGGGGTTCCACTTATAGATGACGCTGTCAATGTTGTGGTTGTCACCTGGAACCAGGGTCAGCGTTGGGGAGCAGAGGACTCCCATGGCCCCATGGCCGCTTGTGGGTCACAGCCCTCCCCGTAAACTTGCCCAGGCCCCGGCACCCCTCTGCTCTGGCCAGGGCACGGACGGCCACCTCTGCTCTCCTGTCTCCACCTGCTGGGCCCATCAGGGCCCCGTGCCAGCCCCCCTGGGCCTTCACGGCTGTTGTTCCCAGAAGGAACAGTCCAGAAGGCTCCACTGCCCACTGTGGCCTCCAGGGCCTGGGGGTCAGCACCTGTCCCACAGGTCAGACCTTCCCACCCCACGCTGCCCCTGCCCAGAGCCCCTCACTCATGGTGTTCCCAGCCTGCCCTGCTGGAGCACTCACCCTAGGGGGACACGGGCTACTGGACTCTTGGGCTCCTCTACGCCCATGAGCTGGGGCTCCTCCCCAGTCTGGAGATGGCTGACCAGGTGAGTGCTGAGGCGTGTAGCCCAGGGAGGCCCAGGTCAGTGGTACCCTGTAGGGTGGGCTGTCATCCTGGGGCTCGCCTGCCCCCCCATAGAGTTTCAGGACTGGGAACAGCCGCTCAGGCACAAACTGGCCCCTCCTGGGCCACGCTGCCACCCACCCCCAGACATCATGCAGCCTGCGCCCAGAGCATCGACAACGTCCACATCCCCTCCCTCCTGTGGCCGCACACCCTGCACACCAGCCAACACCCGTCACTGCCCCTGGCCTGTCGTCCAGCAACCCACCTGCTCTCCTGCACCCGCTGACCCCTCCCCAGGGGAGAAAGGCAGAAGACAGCCCCGCATTTCATGGGGCCTTCTGTAGGCAGGGACCAGGCAGGACCCTTCCTCACCTGGGAGGTGAGCAGGCACTGTGCCCAGGAGACTCTCCCGCACACGGCCGAGCCAGGTAGTGGAGCCCCAGGCCGGGTCGGGCTCATCCTCTTTCAATGAGCGCCCTGCATGAGGCCATGCTCCGCCACAGAACAGCTTCATTCTGGGTCAGCCCTGGCCTACCTTCCCGGTGGTTAGCCACTGCCAGGAAGTGCTCCCCGTCCACCTCGAAGGCCTCCCAGTCGCGGGCGCTGTGGGTGGCAATCCTCTGGTATGGGGTGAACTTCAGCTTTCTGTGGCTCCATTTGTAAATGACAGAGACCTCTTGACCCTTCTCATTCGGTCCAAAGTTAGCCACGGCCAGGAAGATCTGCAAGAGATAAGCCAGGTAAGCTCGCCCTCCGACGGCTGCTGGGGTCTGCTGCCGGAGCCTCGGCTCACGGGCATCTCCCCTGCATCCATGGGGAGCAGGTCTGGGGGCCTGAGGCGGAGCCCACCTCTGTTAGGGCTGTCGTGGGGAGGGGGCCCGTGGCCAGCGCTACAGTCTCCTCAAACACGCCCAGCGCCTCCGTCCATCACTTGCAGGTCTATCTCTATCTGAAGGCCACAGACCAACCCAACCCCCAATTCAGGAAGCGGTGCATGTGAACAGCACCGTCCCCAGCCTGGAAGGGTGGGGGGCGTGCTGACGGCCTGCCCCAGGGAGGGGTCCAGTGTGACTGTGTGCCAGGTGCTGGCCATGCCCACACATTGCCTGGGCTTCCCTTATGTGGCATGGGACCCGGCAGGGCAGCAGGCGGGCGCAGCTCTTGTTCCCAGTGCGCAGGGACAGATGGACAGACAAACGCGTCTCTACCCAGGTGACGGGTCAAGGTGTTCCCCCATGTTTCTGAATGTCTGAATGTTCTTTGATGTAAGCCTATTAACTTTTGTCATAAAAACTAAAAACCTTTGAAATGTCATCAACCAATTAAAAAACAGAGCTAGTTGTTCATTCACTGTCCTGGCCTTGGATGTGCTGGGCCCAGGGCGATGTGAGCAGCAGGAGGCCAGGGGTTCTGTCCGGCCTGACCCAGAGTCCAGGTGAGGGCCCAGCTGCCATCTGGGGTGTGAGGAGCTGGGAAGAGGAAGTGACCCTTCCCCCCGCAGCACCCAGGCCCTCAGGCCCACTGTGCTCAGACCCTGCCCTCTGTCCAGCCTGGCTGGAAGGGCTGCCTGCCTTGAGGTCTCCCCTGGCCTCCTGGGCCTGGCCCTCACTGTCCCTTTGGACCTGACGCGTCCTCGATGTCTGTGGGTGAGAACACAGATCTCCTCTCCCTCTGCAGTAACAGTGCCGCTGACCGGCTGGGGAAGTGCCTTAGCAGGGCTTTCGGTCAGCCTGCGGCCATCCCCAGAGCCAGACAGCGCCTAGGAAGCGGCCACCTTCCGCTCAGGAGCTGATGGCCAACTGGACACCCCGGGTCTTGGCCCAGGGCGTTGGTTGTCATGAAAGCGTGACATGGAAAAGGCCTGTCGCTGCTGGTCCTGCAGGGAGGCCGCTCCTTCCTGCAGGGGCTGTGGCCTGAGGGGCGCTGGGACACCCACAGGATGAAACGCATGCATCTGCCCTGGCTGCAGTAGCCCCCGGCCCCTGCTCTACAGGCTGTGCCCTGGGTACAGAGGACAGAGGGGAGCTGGAGACACCTCAGCCCAGTGCGGGACTCTGCGCCCTTCCCCGCCGAACAAGGCCACCCTGCAGAGGTGGCCGGAGCCCCGAGCCTGGTCGCCGAGGCTGGTCTGCTGCAGGGAGGGCGGCCCGGCGCGCACTTGCCTCTCTCCCGATGGTGAAGTGCCGCCAGGACTGGGCTTGGTGTGTGGGGATGTTCTGGTAGGAGACGAACTTCCCATCCGTCCACTTGTAGACGGCGGACTTGGCTTTCCGATTGGCCGCGGCCACAAAGAGCCCCACGCCGGGGATGCCGAAGACCTCGAGGCCCAGCGTCTCCGAGTTGGTGGGCAGGCGCTGGTGCTCTTCCACGTAGTCCAGCTTGGCTTTGGCTTGTGGAAGGAGGATGGTGCCAGGTCAGCAGGACCAGCAGCAGGAGCTGGACGGTCCACTGGACGCCCCGGGTCTTGGCCCAGGGCGTCAGTTGTCATGAAGGCGTAACATGGGAAAGGCCTGTCAAAGGGAGGCCGCTCCTTCCCGCGGGGGCTGTGGCCTGAGGGGCGCCGGGACACCCACAGGATGAAACGCATGCATCTGTCCTTGTTGCAGTAGCCCCCGGCCCCTGCTCTACAGGCTGTGCCCTGGGTACAGAGGACAGAGGTAGAGTCTGTGGCGCACACCCCTTGCGGACACTGGCTCCCACTTCCTGAGGAAGCCCGACCAGGAGCAACCATCTGGCCTCCACTCACCTCCCTGTCAAAGGCTCACGTCCAAACAGCACCTCTGGGTGCTTGGCTCCCTTGCATCTTACCTGTGGTCCAGTGGACAGGGAAGGCGAGGGCCAGATGCCCAGAGGCCAGGGCCACAGAGGCCCTGTGCTCGCCTCCTATGCCCTCTTTCTGTTTGGAAAGAGAGGTGTCCAGCCCTGCTGGCCCATGCGTCACCCCAGGATGTGTGGCTGCAAGCTCCTTGTGGGGATCAGGTCCTATCCTGAGTAAGGTGAGCTCTGAGGACAGCCAGGGTGGGCATGCTTGGCCTCAGGGAGGGCCTGCCCTGGCCTGCCTGGGGATCCTGCTGCCACCTGCTCCCAGGGTCATTCCTAGGTCCCCTCCACTCACTTGCTCCCAGGTGTCCTAGCCTGGTCAAGGTGCTCACCCTTCACTTCCTCCCTCCCTGGTCACCTCCTGCCGGAGACCCCTGCATGCGCAGGGCACCGTGGGACAGGGACACCCGAGTCCCCGGCCCCGCCTCACCTGCCAACACAGAGACCCACTGGCTGCTGGCACACAGGTGCAGCTCCTTCCTGGCAGCGTCAAACCAGAACGTGGCATCCTGTGCCTTGGTGCACGGTGGCCGGGACCCCAGCGTCACCTTCATGTCTGCCTCTGAGGGGGAACCAGGAGGAGGCATGTCCGTGCACAGGCTCCCTCAGGAGGATGCAGGGCCACCAGGGGGTCCTGCCCATCTCTGCACCCGGTTGAAGGGGCTCCTGGACGTCTTGCGGCCACATCACAGGTGGGCTCCCCAGCACGGAGGCGCACCCCATGCTTCCTGCATGGCAGGACACTGTGACGCTCCCCGTGCCACCAGCGGGCCTGCCCTCTGTCCACCCAAGGCATGGCTCTCTGTCCCTTTGCCCGTGCCCTCTGGGAGCCCTAGGTAACCGGCACTGGTTTGTCTGCCCTCGGGTTGCCTCCTGGGCTCCAGTCAGGTGACTACAGCGCAGCTTGGCCCAGCATTTGACCTCACCACACCGCGGACCACACCTGGCCGGGGCCAAGCTCATCCAGCTGCCTCGTGGCTTTCTGTGGATGTCTGTGCCGCAGCTGGGCATGGTGGCTCCCAGGACTTGCTGGGTGCGGCTCCCTGCCTTGTGAGCCTGAGCCTCGGGGCCAGGCTGCCCCACCCCACCTCCCCCACAGCACACTGGGGACCCGGCAGAGTGAGATTCTAATGAACAGGCCAGCTTTCAACTCGACACCGGATGATGCCAGTCCACCTGGAGGGGGCACACCCAGGAGATGCCCGGGCTGGGCTCACGAAAACAAGGTGCGCCTCGAGGGCGGGGTCCTGGCGGGGCGGGGCTGGGGGCGGCTGCTGGACAGAGGGGTGGGAACCAGCTCCAGCGTGGCTCAGGGCTCTGCAGGGGGAAGCCCTTCTCCCAGGAGCAGAGTCTGCTGTCTGCTGGGGGGTCCCCAGGAGGGGCGATGGTCTGTCCAGGCAGGGGCCCTGGAGAGAAGGGAGACGTGCTGGCCTGTCTGGTGCCCCTGGGGCAGGGGCCCGAGTGCTCTCTCTGCCAACCTGACAGCTACCCCCTGCCATGGAGAAGTGAGAACGCGGGAAAGGCTGCGCTGGGAGCCCCAACTTGGTGCCGAGGCTCTGGGGTGTCTCCCGTCGAGTGGGGGCACTGGCCTCGCTACTCACCATAAGGGTATTTTAGCACCTCGTTATCACCCAGCTTCCCCTGCAGCACCCGTGGGATGGACAGCTCGGCCAGCTGGGCATTCCTGCTGGGACACAGCCTCAGGGTGGCATCCGAGCCCGGCAGCAGGACCAGCTGCCTCACCAGGCCCTGCAGAGAGGGGGCAGCGGGCTCAGAGCTCACAGGGGCTCGGGCAGGGCGCCAGGCTTTGCCTGTCAGGCCCATGGAGGCGCGGGCTGCGGGGAGTCCAGCCTGCAGAGTCGGGAGGAGGGCGGGCACGTGTGTCACAGGAGCAGTGGTGACCTGCACGCCTTCTCAGGTGGCTGACCCAGGGAAGGCTTTCCACATGGGCTGACTTGGAGTGACCAGGCTACACTGCCCATCCTTCTGTCCATCCCTCCCTCCATTCCTGTGTCCCCACCCAACTGCCCACATTCATCTATCCACCCATCCACCCAGCATGCGTCCAGCCAGCCATCTGTCCATCTGTCCACCTGCCCGTCTGGCCTGTCCCTGCACTCATCCACCCGTCCCAGCACCCACGGGTAGACTTTCACAGAGCACCTGCCATGCGCCAGGCAGGCTTCCAGACGCTGTGGACACGACTCTGGAGGAATGAGCCCCCAGACAGCACGGGGAGGCGCGGGGGGATGTGGCGGCACCTTATCAGAGCAGAGGGGCTGTGGGCGGCAGGAAGGCCCAGGTGCCTCACCACACCTCGGACCCTGGCTCCATCAGTGCAGAGTCACAGCCTCACAGCACAGACGTGGGACAGCCCCGAGCCCTGGGGGGAGGCAGCCCTCCACACTCACCGTGAACAAGCCTTTGGTTCTCCTCCGGCTGCCAACAAAGACCCGGGCCCCTCGCACTGAAAGGGTGGCGGGGAAGGGCACGTCAGCCATTCTGCAAGCATCAGAAGGTGGTCTCAGGGCTGGAGAAGCGCAGGACGTCCTCCGTTTGTTTACAGAAGGAAAGGCGAGCCCGTGGGAGAGGAGCATCACCGTCCCCGGTGCCATGACAAGGGCCACAGGCGGCAGCTTGACACACAGAAATGTGGCCCCCGGTCTGGGGGCCGGAGGCCGAGGTCCAGCTGTTGCAGGTTGCGCTTTCTCCATGCTTCTGAGGAGGACTGCCCTCCACCCGTCCAGCCCCGGTGGCCCCGGGCTCCTTGGCTGGTGGCTGCGTCTCTCCAGTTTGCCTCCCTCCTTTACTATCTCTTCCCTGCATCTCTGTCTCCCTGTAAGGAGCTGCCCGGACCCAGGACGACCTCACGTAGACGTGACTAGAAGTCCTGCTTCCACAGAAGGCACTCACAGGCGCCAGGTGACAAGAATTTGGGGGCAAGGGTCTCCCATGAAGCTCATGGAGAAAAGATGCCCAGTGGTTCTCCCCATCTCAGGGTGAACTTCCAGTGACTTCTACTGCACTGGGTCCCCAGCCCACCCACACTCCCCAGAGCATGTCACCCATGCACAGGCTTGGAATCACTTCCTGGGGAGCCAGGGCGGAACTCGGGAGGCGGGAAAGCATGAGTCCTCAGGGCTCACAGCTGTGGTCCACTGTCCTCTCGAAGCACCTGCCCCTTCTGGCTGTAGCCATGGAGCTGCAGCTGGGGGGTGAGGCCAGCTCTGGCTTGCTGCCCCAGAAGCCCGTTCTCAGCACACAGCCCAGCCTCTGCGGGCTCTAGGACCCTGCGCCTGGCACTCTGTGGTGGCCTGCGGGGCTCTGCAGCCTGAGGGCTCAAGTCTTCCATGGCCACAGGCACCCCACCCTGCAGCCCCACTGCCCTGGCCAGGCCTCCTGCACCCTTATTCACAGCTGTTCTTGCTGCTCGACGGGCGGCAGTCCTCCAGGAGCCCTGGCGGCACCAGGGCCTGGCGACTGATGAGCCAGGAGGGACAGAGCGGTGAGGATGCAGCCCAGGAGCTGCCCACCAGGCCTCAGCCTGCAGGGTCCCACTGGCTCCTGGCCACTCCTGGGAAACAGGCTCAGGCTTCGAGTCCCTTCCCAGAGTCCTGCCTGAGGCCCCTCTGGGGAGGGAGCGCCTCTTGCTGTGCTTGGCCCTGAACGCCTTCTGCTGCAAATCAGGGGAGTGACCCCTCGCTCCCAGGTGCTGGGCAAACCCAGAAGGCAGGTGAGGCTCCAGTCTAGCCAGCTTTCTTCTGCTGGGGGAGCCAGTGCTAGTCCAGGTCCACCTAGGCCGTGCAGGGTCTCTCTGTAAGGCCCTGGCTGCCTGAGAGTGACCAGGGAATGGGCTTCTTGGCTCTTGGAGACCCAAGATGTCATTGCCCTACTAAGAGCACAAATGAATTTTGGGGGAAGGTGGGAGGTAAGCTGTGATAAGATGTGTTAAAACTACACCTGAAAAGGTCACAGGTTCTTCTTACTACGAAGTAAATTCCATAATAACAAAACAGAGGAAGAGAGTCAGATTCAATCTACATGGGATCATTTGAAGTTAGACGGCCAGTCCCTCTGCAGCTATGGCTGGTGAGGGTGTCACAGGTCACATCAGCTGGCAGAGCCTGGGGACGGGTGCTCCCCAGGCCAGTGTGCCTACCATCAGGTCATAGTGGCCAAAGGAGAGAAATGGTCAGGCTGCCAAATGCCCTGGTCATATGCAAAGCTGCGGTGGACACTGTAGCATGTTTGCCTGGGGTTCTGTGAGCTACTCCCTCATCCTGGATGAGGAAGGTGCCATATGAAGCCAGAGGCCAGGGAGGGAGTGCCTGAGTCAGGAGCTGAGCTCCTGACTTCCTCCGCCACCTCAATAATGTCAGGGACACTCGGCACATCCCCCTGCCTGTGACCCTCAGCTATGTCCAGAAAGAGGAGAGCCACATGGTGTGATGATCTTTACCTGGTTTTAAGCCCCTGATTCTCTGACGAGCAGTGAGTCTTGTGGTTTAAGGTGAAAACACGGGTTCACACTGTACAGCGTGTATCCTGGATGCTGGGTGCACATCCTACCCACCAGGCCCACAGCCTCCTGCATTAGCTAGCTGTCCTTTCCTGCCTGCCCAGCAGAGCCGGCCCAAGCTCTCCTCTGTCCAGTCTCCCTGGCCCCCACCTGCTGTGGCCCTTTAGAGGGCAGCCCTAGTGACAGCCCTTGCGAAAGCCTCTCAGTGTTGACCTGCTGAGGGGGCAGCTCCTAACAGCATTCCTCACAAGCTGGCCTGACTAGGGACCAGCCAGGCCCACTGGGGCGGGGGTAGGAGTGGGCTTGCTCCTGGGCCCAGGCCCTCAGCCCAGTGCAAGGTGCAGCCAGGCAGCCAGTGGGATGGGCTGCTCAGGCACAGCACACAGTGAGAACCCTGGCAAACCCCATGTCCTGCTACCTACATGTCCACGGGGAGGCCGCAGTCCATGATGAGGGAAAAGGATCCTGCAGATACTGCCAAGACCAGCGTGTGCCACTGGCTGTCCATGAGGCTGGCGCTGCGGAAGGACACGCGGGTCTGCCAGGCGCCGGCCATGTCCTCGCTGAGGAACAGGAAGTGCAGATGGGTGGACGAGTACCGCAGGCCGAGCAGTAGCACATCCCTCTCCTCCGCCACCACGGTGAGCAGGTACTCGTTCTTCTGCAGAAAGAGGTGCAAGGGGCAGGGCTGGGGTGGGGCTTGCGGGTGAGGGGTAGGGCCAATGGGGAGAGGGCAGGACCAGAGGAGGGCTGGCGGAAGGGAGGGGTGGGGTTAGTGGAGGGGCAGAGCCGGTGGAAGGGAGAGGCAAGGCTGGAGAGGCAGATGCTGAAAGAGGGCTCGTGGGCGGGAGGGCGGGACATGGGCAGAGGGGGCGGGGCCTTGGGAGGAGGGCAGGACAGAGAGGAAGGGTGGGGCCTATGAGAGGAGGGCGGGACCAGGGTGGAGGGGCGGGGCCTGTGGGAGGAGAGCAGGACTAGGGTGGAGGGGCAGGGCCTATGAGAGGAGAGCAGGACTAGGGTGGAGGGGTGGGGCCTGAGGGGAGGGCGGGACCAGGGTGGAGGGGCGGGACCTGTGGGAGGAGGGAAGGACTAGGGTGGAGGGGCAGGGCCTATGGGAGGAGGGCGGGACCAGGGTGGAGGGGGCAGGGCCCGTGGGAGGAGGGGAGGGAGGAGGAAGGGGTAGGGCCTGTGGGAGGAGGGCGGGACCAGGGTGGAGGGGCGGGGCCTGTGGATGAAGGGCAGGATGAGGGTGGAGGGGCAGGGCCTGTGGGAGGAGGGCAAGACCAGCATGGAGGGGCGGGGCCTGTGGGAGAAGGACAGGATCTGGGTGGGGCCTATGGGAGGAGGGGAGGGAGGAGGAGGGGTAGGGCCTGTGGGAGGAGGGCAGGATGGGGAGGGGAGGGGCCTGTGGGAGGAGGGCAGGACGTGGGAGGGCTCAGCGGCTGGGAGAGGGGTGGGACTGATGACCAGTGCAGGGCCTCAGCCAGGATTACTGGGTGAGATAAAACCAAAAGTATGCCTCGCAGGCATTAGGATCTGCTATCAAAATACAGCTCCTGTTGGTAAGGAGGTGGGGACACTGGAACCTTGGAGCCTGTTGGTGAGAACATAGTGCTAGGCGGAGAGCAGCCTGCGGGGTCCTCAGATGTCTGACAGCACTGCTGTCCCACCCAGCAGTACTCTGAAGAGTTGATACAGGTGTCCTACACCCACGTTTGTGGCGGCAGTATTCACAGTGGCCATAAGGGCAGTGAGGCCAGCAGGTGAGTGAAGAGCCCACGGTGGCGTGCCACGTGCCTTAGACTAGAGGGGATTCTGACAAGCTGCACTGGGAGGCGTCCTGAGGACTCCTGCTGAGCGACAGAAGCCAGGCACAGGACAGGTGTCAGGAGCTCCATTTGCATGAGGCACCTTGAGGGGCCCGGCTCATGGAGATGGGAAGCAGGAAGCAGGAGCCAGCATTTAAAGTGGGATAAGGGTTGGGTTTTGCCAGAAGAAAAGCTTGGGAGGTGGGTGGTGCTGATGTCCGGTTCTAGTGCTCACAAAATCAATGCCCAGGAACTGAACTGCGTGCATGTGACCCTTCGGAGGGCGGATTGCATTATGTGCATTCAGCAGGAAAGCAAGGGCAGTGCCTGCCGCAGTTGTGACCTCAGAACTCTGAACCTTCCTCTCCAACTTGGGTCACTTAAGAACAATGTATACTTAATTATACTCGTCTGCAATTGAGATTCCTATTGCTCAGCCTAGCACAATTAAGGTGAATAAACCTGAAAGGTGACTCAGATAGGAAAATAGAGTGTGTGCATAAGTGTGTGTATACTAATCTATTTTTAGCAAGAATTTGCCCCTGTCAAGCTGTAAGCCAATCCCATGCACCTGCGTTTTACAGAAGTGAAAAGCTTTCTGGGGTCTTCAGCTTTAAATTAGTGTCCTGTTTAGCAGAATCTACTGTCCTGGCTTGGTCCTCTTACATCTGGCAGTGCTGAGAACAGAGGGGACACCTGGTTCCTTCCACTTCCACAGTAGAAGTGGCCAACCAGGAACCCAGAGAGAGGATGCTTTCCTACTTGGGTGTGATGCTTGGAAGCCCCAAGTGACAAGCGATGAAAGAAATCCTTCGAGTGACGGTCAGTATGTGAGCGAGCCACACAGGGCGGGGGGCACTGGGAGAAGGGCCCATCCTCAACCAGGGGAGAGAGACAGTTCTCACCTGGGCTCGGGGCTGGCAGGGACTGAGCCCTCCTGGCCTAGCCCTGAGTCCCACCAGTGAACACCCAGGGGACAAGGGCACTGTCCCTCATGATCTCCAGGCCAAGTCACTCACTCCTAGAAATGCTCCTGGCAGGAGGAGAATGAGGTCTGCTCCCACCCTGTGTCCCCCCAAGCAGGAGAGGAAGGGGAAAAGGTTATCAGACTGAATTTATTGAGCCCTGAGAAGAAGACAGGTGGTAGACAGGGCAGGTGACACAAAGACAGGCGGGGCTTGTGGGAGGCAGGAGGGAGAGGCAGCTCAGCATAGTGGACACAGGGAAGACCTGTCCTAGGGGGTGCCCAGTCACCTAACCCTGCTCAGGAGCAGACAGGGGGAGCTGTGAGGGGACCAGGTGTGGGATGGGCCTGAACCCACTGGCCCTGGGGACATGGCTGGTCAGCAGCAGGACTTCTGGCCCAAGGAGACACCACAGCAGGCCGGGCGGGAGCAGGTGGGGCGGCAGAGCAGGGACACACAGGAGGCCGGGCGGCAGCAGCTGGGCTGGCAGGAGGAGGCACAGCAGGAGGAGGCGGGCACGCAGCAGGCGGGCCTGCACACGGGGCGGCAGAGCAGGGACACGCAGGAGGAGGGTCTGTAGCAGCAGACGGGCTTGCAGCAGACGGGCACGCAGCAGGACGGCTGGCAGGGGGAGGAGCTGCAGCAGTCAGACTGGCAGCTAGACTGCTGGCAGCAGGAGGAGGAGGCTCCAGAGCACACAGGCTTGCAGCAGACAGGCTTGCAGCAGAGGGACACACAGCAGGACGGCTGGCAGGGGGAGGATGAGCAGCAAGAGGGCTCACAGCAGGACTGCTGGCAGGGGGAAGAGGAGCAGCAAGAGGGCTCACAGCTAGACTGCTGGCAGCAGGAGGAGGAAGCCTCAGAGCAGACGGGCACACAGCACACAGGCTTGCAGCACACGGGCTTGCAGCAGAGGGACACACAGCAGGACGGCTGGCAGGGGGAGCAGCTGGAGCAATCAGACTGGCAGCTAGACTGCTGGCAGCAGGAGGGGGTGCAGGAGCTGGTGCAGACTGATTGGCAGCAGGGTCTGGACACACAGCTCACTGGGGTGCAGACGAGGGTCAGGCAGGGGGCTGGGGCACAGCAGCTGGGCTGGCAGCAGCTGGGGGCGCAGCAGGGGGGCTCGCAGCAGCTCTCTGGGCAGTCGTCCACCTGCCAGGAGGACTCGGGGCAAGAGCTGGAGCAGACGGACATGGTGGAGGCGGCCATGGTGGGTGTGCTGGAGGAGGGTGTGTGGGTGAGTGTGTGGGTGTGTGTGGGGAGCTCTGGGCTCTGGCTTTTATACCTGCCCGGTCCCTCTGGTCCCCAGCCCACAGCCTCTCCTTCCGGGTTGCTGGGCCGGCTCCTGGCCGTCATTGGGGATGCTTGTTTACCTGGGAGGCTGTCCAGCTCGTTAATGTCCTGCCAGCGTCGGGGCCCCTGGAGCGGGAGTGGGTTCCGGGAGCACTGAGTGCTGGGGTGTTGTGTGTGGCAGGAGCCTGGCCACCCTGGGCTGCTGGGGCACCCTCCAGCCATGGGACAGCAGCCTCAGGGCCTCGTCTCCATTGGAGGGAAGCCTGGACACAGAGGTGTCACCTGTGGCTCACACCCCTCCGCAGGGCCCGTCAACAATGCAGGATGCTTGGCACCTGTACTGAGCACCCAGAGTCCAGGGCGCCTGGTGCCCTGTCCGGGGCCTCATGGCTGTGTGGAGCTGGACAGCCTGAGCCCTGCGCAGGTCCTCATCCCTCCACCTCTCCCTGCCTCCTCTCTGTGGCCCTGTCCATCCTGTCCCTGTGCCTGAGGGCAGCAGGCCTCCATCCTCAGGCCAGGATGGAGGGCTGTGCCCTCCCCACTGGGGCACCAGGCAGCCTCCTGGGCCGCGAGTCCAGGTTTTGAACCTGCAGAGCCAGGACTGCCCGTTGGCTTTAGCCCTCCTTGGGCCGCCTCTCCATTTGCCCTGCCACCAGCTGTCCTGGGCACCTGCTTTTCCTACCAACCCCCTGTGGGCCCAGTTTCACACTTTTCCTTAGACCATATAAAATGCTCTGTCGAGTTCTGCTTCTTCATGGGGGGAGTGGGCTCTTATCAGACTGACCATCTGTCTGAGAAAAATGAGGAACCTGGTTAACAAATGCAATCTCCACTGGAGGGTCAGAGGATGCACCAGGAGCTGAGGCTGAGGGACCAAGTCCCCATCACCCATCACAGGGGACACAGCAGGGACCACTACTTTCTTGGATTTTCTTCCTGAGGCATTTGCCAGTTCACAGGTCACAGACGAGAGGTTGGGAAAGTGGAGAGAGATTTCAGTGGTCTTGGGGACTGACCACCAACATGAAGTGAAGCCAAGTCAGCTCACAAGCTGAGAGGGGAAGGGACTCTGGCCAGGCACTCAGGCTTTTGTGGCAAATGCTGGGTCTAAGTGAGGCTGCTCCCTATCAGAAGCAGAAGTAAGACCGGCCCCACCTGAACCAGCTCTGACTGAACTCAGGTGTTCTGCTGGAGTCAACAGGTGTCAGAGCGAAGGTCAGCCCACTGCGAGACAGGGGCTTCATGAAGAAGAAAATGACCTTCACATTTTCACTCACAACATCTTATTTTTATTCAAAAAGTATCAGGCCTAACAAACGACAAGATCAATTGACCAAGGAACCAAGAGGAAAATCGAAAACCAAATAGACCAAGAGGAAAAACGAAAACCAAACAGACCAAGAGGAAAAACAAAGACCAAACAGACCAAGAGGAAAAACGAAGACCAAACAGACCAAGAGGAAAAACAAAGGCCAAACAGACCAAGAGGAAAAACAAAGACCAAACAGACCAAGAGGAAAAACAAAGACCAAACAGACCAAGAGGAAAAACGAAGACTGAAGAGACCAAGAGGAGACGAAGACCACACAGGT